TGAGACGCTCCAGGTCCAGACATGACTCCAGCAAGCCATCGTTGGGCTCATCGGTGCCGTCCCAGATCCCCGACCAAAAATCCTTCTGGACCTCGGCGACATCTGAGGCATGGCTTGATGGCACCAACGACGTGTGCACCTGGGACAAAGTCCATCCCTTCGGCTTTGTCCAAAGATGAACTGGCCGAGGTCGACTGCCTAAGCAATCGCGCAACCATTTGGTGAAGCCCAGATCACGCCTTTTTTTTCCAAGCTCGGCCTCGACGCGCGAAGCATCATGAGCCAGTCCAGCAGCGAGGCGACGAAGGTGAACATAATGAAATTCACCTGGCTGCGCAAATATGCCGACGAGCAACTTCGGAACTGCAGAAGCCAACCCTGTTGACAGACATCCAGCGAGCCTCCACATTCGCCCTTTGCCTGCTATCAAACGTAAACTGGGGTTCCAAATGCTGTAATGCTTCTGCAGCGGCACATATCCATGTTGCTTAATAACCCTGGCGAGGTCCTCGAGCCTGTACTGAAGAAGTCGAAGAGCTCGCGTTTCTGCAGTGCCTGCAGGCTGATGACCAGAGAGCGCGCCTCCAGCCGTAGAAGGGTGATGCTCAACATCTCCGCCTCGACCAGCATAGGCCTCAGGCTTGTCAAGATCGAAGAGCGGCGTCAGCTCCTTCTCAGTGCCCTGAAAGATGCTATCATACAGCGCATCAAGCCGATTCTGCCGCCTGGAAGAAGGTCCTGGCCCATGTTGAGCGCCGGGCTCCATTAATTCAATCCAAGAGAAGCCTGGATCGCCCACAGCCGCGGTGTCCTCGTCATCGTCGTCGTCGGACGAGTCTGGATGTCCCAGTCGAGGCTGATGCACTGGCTTGGGAGGAAAAACTTTTGGCCCACGAATCTTCTGAACCGTTTGCGCGCGAGAGCGCTCTCCGACAGTGACGATCATCGGGTAGTGAGGCCTCGGCGCGTTATCATGAACACGACGCGGATTCCTCATCGCACTCGAGAGAGAGTCGCTGGCCAACCAGAAGTCGAGGTACGTGTGGTTCCCAGTCTTAGCGACCCTGTGTGAGCCTTCTGGTCCTACGACCAAGTGTCCGTCAACTTTGGGAACGAACTCGGAGCTGCTGAGGGTGTCTGGCGAAACGTTCCAGTCCCCTCCAACAACATAAGGCACGCGATAGAAGCGAAGCGCCTCGCCCAGCTTCGCCGGGCGCTCAATGTTCTGCTGAGCCAACCCAATACCTTCTTCAAGATATATCGATCCAGCAATGAAGCCTCCACGAGGCCCAGCATGGATAAAGACGGCCACGCACCGCGACTTAACTAGCACGTGATTCTTCACCCAAGGGATGCTGCTGAGGTACGTGGTGCCGATGTGACTACGAACGAATAGACCTGCCCCCGCCATCATTGAGCCAGTGGGGCCCACCAGGCAGTCGGTAATAAAAGGCTTTCCAACCGTTTCGAATACGCCATTCCTCAGCCTGCAAGCGCTCGTCTGACCTGAGCCGAACCTCCTGCGAGGCCACAATGCATGATCCTGCGGCGCCTTCCTCCAGAAAGGTACGAAGCCCCCCCCAGCCGTCAGCGTTGTAGGTGGCCGCCGTGAGAGGGCGACGGCCACCGCGCCGAGGAGCTCGCCGTGAGATCCGCTTGCCTTCGCTGTGATCCTGAACAAAATTGATTCGAGCCCCGCCTGGCGGCGTCGACGAGGGGGCCCCCGGGCCCAGAGCGTTCTGAACGCCGGCAGGACGGGGAAGTGACGACTTGCAACGCCTCCACAGCTTATGGCCTATGGTAGAGCCACCGATTGGCCGCGCTGAAGCCGAAGCCGAGCCTGCCGCGTGTGAAGATGTCGAATTAGTAGCCGACTGCGATGTTGATAGCCTCTCGCCTCTCAACGTCTGTGTCTGTAGGATATGTCCACTGCTGGCGGCGACGTTGCCCTCCATTAGCCCATGAGGGCCCAACGGCAAGCGCCAGGCGGAGGGAGTCGCGGCCTCGGTAGACAAGGTAGCTGCAGCATGAGGATGCTCGGGGAGTGGCAGATCGCCAAGTTCGAAAATCTGACCCCGAAACGCCCTCGGCATATCGAGAAATAACGAATTACTAAGTGCCGCCAGCGTCCATGGATTCGTCCGCGTCTCCGTCATTATAGAATAGCGAATCCCATAGTGTGAGGTCTGCTGAAGGCGCCGCTGGAACGGATTGTTGAACTGCACGGAACTCAGCCTGCAACGAAGCAAGCATGGCTTCCTGGTTTCCTGCTGTAATGGCTGAGGCGGCACTCGGAACAATAGTCTCCAAGCGTCCCGGAGCTGTGCGGAAGTCAGATGATTCAGTGGAAGCCGATGACGCCGTAGACGACAATACTGCCGATCGTGCCACTTGTACTTCTGCTTGTATCTGGCCCAACTCAGTCCGTGCCCCCGCCAACGCATGCTGCTTCTCGGTGAGCTGAGCTTCGAGCTTCTCGACCGTTGCTTCCAAGTCAGTGACCTCTTTCTGCTTGGCGTTTTGTCGATCAAGGGCCCTCCTGAGCAAATCGTCGGGCGTCCTCTTAGATGCCTGCTTCTGCTCGGCTGAGGCCAGGTCGGCCTTGGCCCGCACGATGATGGCCGAGGACTCGTCATATCCCAGCCGCCTGAGAGCTCCCAATGCCTTTCTCGCCTGACCAACTTCGTCAAGAGAGACTTGGCTGCTGTCACCCTCGTCGGATTTCGCACCTTTCCCACGGGACCGCGATCGAGCTCGAGCTCCTGGGGGTGGCACGAAGTCAGGGTTCGGCTTTCCAGCGCGATCACGCCCGCACTGAAAGCAATGAGAATTGCGAGCAAACTTCTTCGAAAAACCACATTGGCGCGTGGCCACGCAAGCCCAGCGGGGCTCACGCTCGCCATTGTTCGCACCACGTCCTCGTCCACCTTTGGGCTGTCCCATGGGCGGCTCCGAGCCGTGATGACGCACGAGTAGCTTGCTGTCGGGCAGCTTCGAGGCGCAGAAACTTGCGTGCCTGGCTACCCCTCCTGCGGAGACGACGATGCCACGCTGGCGATGGTGACCTGCCCCTCACTGCCGCCGCACTGGTAGATGCTGCGCCAGACACCAGCCAAGGCGACGTGCCCCTGGTTCTGACGATTCAGAGCGCCAGACACCAGCCAAGGTCCAAGACCCCTGGTTCTGACGATTCAACATCGCTCCCGCCCGCCGCGCGCGTTCCAGGGAGCTGGGCGCAGGCTGCAAAACGCGCCGACGGGAAAGGCCTCCGTCGGCTCAAGCCCACGCCTGGAGGAGGAGGAGGAGGAGGAGGAGGAGGAGGAGGAGGAGGAGGAGGAGGAGGAGGAGGAGGAGGAGGAGGAGGAAACGGACCACCAGAGTGAACCAACGACTCATCAACAATGTTGCAATAAAGCCTCCCTCCAAGTCGCCTCTTCATAGGTCCCTGAAACGATTTCCTGTCAATGGGGGAGCTGCCCCGTTGGAAGACAACAAGTTGAAAAATCCTGAACCGTGCTATGCCACCATGCCAGAAAATTCACCACCGCGAATCAACGAGACTGTTGCGTCCTGGCGATCTTGAACCGCGCCAGAACACCAGCCCTAGGAAATCAACGCCGCGAATCATAGCGACTTTTGCGCCGTGACATTTTACATGGTGCCAGAGCACCAGTTCTGGTACGTCAGCCTCACACGCAAGAACCCTCCTTGAAATGGCTGTGAACTCATGCAGGGAATGCGTGCGGCGCTGAGGCGGGAGCCACATTTCGCAAGAGGAGCCAACCTCCCTCTATGAAGCCTTAGCAAGCTTTCAACCGACGAACGTGCGCGGCGCTACAGCGAGAACGCGCCACATTGCGCAAGAGGAGCCACCCTCCCTCTATGAAGCTGTAGCAAGCTTTAAACCGACGAACGTGCGCGGCGCTACAGCGAGAACGCGCCACATTTCGCATGAGGAGCCACCCTCCCTCTATGAAGCTGTAGCAAACTCTAAAAAGAGGAACGTGCGCGGCGCCGCAGCGAGAACACGCCACATTTCGCAAGAGGAGCCACCCTCCCTCTATGAAGCTGTAGCAAACTCTAAAAAGAGGAACGTGCGCGGCGCCGCAGCGAGAACACGCCACATTTCGCAAGAGGAGCCACCCTCCCTCTATGAAGCTGTAGCAAACTCTAAAAAGAGGAACGTGCGCGGCGCCGCAGCGAGAACACGCCACATTTCGCAAGAGGAGCCACCCTCCCTCTATGAAGCTGTAGCAAACTCTAAAAAGAGGAACGTGCGCGGCGCCGCAGCGAGAACACGCCACATTTCGCAAGAGGAGCCACCCTCCCTCTATGAAGCTGTAGCAAACTCTAAAAAGAGGAACGTGCGCGGCGCCGCAGCGAGAACACGCCACATTTCGCAAGAGGAGCCACCCTCCCTCTATGAAGCTGTAGCAAACTCTAAAAAGAGGAACGTGCGCGGCGCCGCAGCGAGAACACGCCACATTTCGCAAGAGGAGCCACCCTCCCTCTATGAAGCCTTCGCAAGCCTTGAAATGACAAACGTGCGCGGCGCTGCAGCGAGGACACGCCGCTCGAAGACCGCCCGCCCTCCAGCCGTGCAGCCCTGGCAAACATCTCGCGACGCCGAGCGTGCGCGGCGCCGGGGCGAGAGCCACACTTCGAAGACCGCCCGCCGCCCGGCCGTGCAGGCCTGGAGGTTGCGAGGCAGGCTCGAGCGAACTCCCCGGCCCGCCCTGCCGGCACGCCTCGGGGTGCGACGTGGAGGAAGTGCAGGGCAGTTTTAGATACATAGGATTTTTTAAGGATATCGGAATTTGCTACATGATTAATTTACGAATGCATTTGTGCATGAGCTCATCGTTGGTTTTAATGCTAAACCCCTGCATTTTTAGTACATGATCCGCACGCGGAACATGTATTAAAACGGCACTGTAGAAGGAACAGGACTGGAAAGATGAGGAGGGAGGAGGAGGATGGGGTGCCAAGCGGGCCCCCCATCCTGCAGCTCGGTGCTGTCCGCGGGCGTGCCGCCGCGCAGAGCGGCGTCGAGCTGTGCCAGTGCCGCCCGCCTGGCGCTAGGGAGGGGCGGCCACAACATCGACCAGGGCCCTGGAGCAGAACCCTGCTCTCGTCGTCGTCGTCGTCGTCGTCGTCGTCGTCGTCGTCGTCGTCGTCGTCGTCGTCGTGGTCGTCGTCGTCGACGTAGTCGTCTTCGTCGTCGTCGTCGTCGTCGTCGTCGTCGTCGTCGTCAATCTCCTCCTCCTCCTCCTCCTTCCAAGTAGGCGGACTACCGTGTGCCGCAGGAGATTCTCAAACTCGCTTCCACACAGGAGCGTCGAAAACGTTCTGACACATGGCTGGGGACAACGCGGTCCTGTGGGCCAAAGCGATAACTGGGAGACGCGCTATGGTATGCCGTACTCTGCCTGCTGCTCCGAAGCGATAACAACACGGCTGCTTGTCACGATACAAGCGGGATTCGACTCGTAGGGTTGCGCACCGACGCCCCAGCGACAGCCTGGTCGCGACGAGCTTTCCACGCCCAAGGCACGAGCAGGCGGCTGGCGAGTCATCCAGTGCACTCGCAATCGGACCCAGCCCGCCTGCATAGTCAAGCCCGTGCAAGGAGAGCGGGCGCAAGCGTGCCAGTCCTGAGAGGGGACACCTGTCGCTCTTGAGCCCTACCACGTTGACTTTCGTCTGGGGCCCGGGGTGTGAAAGAAGGTGCGCGTTGGCCCCAGCTAGGCAGCTTCCTTCCAGGCCATGGGCGGCTGTACATGCACGTGCAAGTCCAATTCACCTGTGATACATGTTGAGCCAGACATCGCGGGATGGCCTCCAGGAGGAGGAGGAGGAGGAGAAGGAGGAGCAGGAGCAGGAGGAGGAGGAGGAGGAGGATGATGAGGAGGAGGAGGAGGAGGAAGAGGAGGAGGAGGAGGAGGAGGAGGAGGAGGGAGAGGAGGAGGAGGAGGGGGTCCAAAGCCACCTAGCCTCACCCTCGAGCAGGCACGTCGAGAGAAGCAGCTCCTCGCCCCCTGAAGCTTGACCTGGGAGCCCCCGTCCCCACAGAGAGGACTTTTCCCAAGCTTTTAGCCGAAGAAGCTTGAGGGTCGCATTCGTCAATCCAACTTTGGCCTGGGCTGGCCTCGATTGAATCCTCGCCAGATCATGTGGCTTCCCAACGCGTCGAGACCGTCCACGCAAAGCGCCTGCACAATCCCCGAAACTCCGACGCCATGCTTTTCACAACGTCGCCCCCAATGGATCTGGACCCCTTCCCGGGACCGCTTTTTCCTCCCGAATGAACTTTTGACAGTCCTGGGGCCCGGCGACGGCCCTTGGAGGCCGAAACTTGTCAAAATCCTCCCGTTGCGACCTTTCTCGCGACGAAGGTAGGGGAAAGCCCCCCCGAGGAGCTCAACCCCACCGCGAACCCCTCGGGACACCCGTGCCCTGTTAGCCAGCCAGGGAGCACGGAGGCTCCTGCGCTCGACCAGTCGCAGCTCCTCGCTCAGCGCCCTCTCGGCGGCGGCCAGCTCGTGAGGCTGCAGCCCCGCTTCGCGGGCATCTGCTAGCGCCGCCTCGCGCGCGCTGAGGAGGAGGAGGAGGAGGAGGAGGAGGAGGAGGAGGAGGAGGAGGAGGAGGAGGAGGAGGAGGAGGAGGAGGAGGAGGAGGAGGAGGAGGAGGAGAGGAGGAGGAGGAGGAGGAGGAGGAGGAGGAGGAGGAGAGAGAGAGGGAGAGGAGGAGAGGAAAGGAGGAGGAGGAGGAGGAGGAGGAGGAGGAGGAGGAGGAGGAGGAGGAGGAGGAGGAGGAGGAGGAGGAGGAGGAGGAGGAGGAGGAGGAGGAGAGGAGAGGAGGAAGGAGGAGGAGGAGGAGGAGGAGGTGGAGGAGGAGGAGGAGGAGGAGGAGGAGGAGGAGGAGGAGGAGGAAGTAGGACGAGGAGAGAGGAGACTGAAGGAGAGAGGACAGAGGACGCGAATGCGGATGGGGATGATGATGATGCTGATGATGAGGAACATGATGCCGCTGATGATGCTGCTGATGATGGAGAACATGAGGCGGATGAGGTGGCGAAGGCAGATGAGGAGGAGGAGGAGCAGGATGAGGATGATGATGATGAAGAGGATGATGAGGATGAAAATGATAATGATTACGATGATGATGTTGATAATGAAGATGATGCTGCTGCTGCTGATGATGATGATGATGATGCTGATTCTGATGATGATGATTAGTATGATGATGCTGCTGATGATGATGAGGAGGAGAAGGAGGAGAAAGAGGAACAGGAGGATGAGGAGGCAGAGGAGGAGGGGGAGGCGAAGGAGGAGGAGGAGGAGGAGACGAAAGAGGAGGAGGAGGGAAAGGATGAGAAGGAGGAAGATGAGGCGGAGGAGATGGAGGAGGCGGTCTCGGGTCCTGGGCTCGGCCTGGCAGTCGCTCTCTGCGCTGCTGCAGACGCGCAACGCGGAGCTGTTATTGGCAGCAGAATCGGCT